TTTTTTTTTTTTTTTTTTTTTTGTTTTGCTAACCTTGAAAACAGTCCTGAAGTCCAGATTTTTCTTTCTTACATTGTCTGTTCATATAGTTGGTGAGTTTTTCTTTCATTGTCAGTCAATTAAAGGTGATGTCTCAGGAGCAAAGACAAGGGAAACTAGTGAATTTCGGGCTTGGAAGTGGTTAGTTTGGGAGACCAGGCAGAGGCTAAAAAGAATAGGCTTTTTGAAGCTAAGATCATTAGAAGTTATGAAAGATCTTTTTAAGTGCGGTAACTTTGAGTTTCGGCATAAGGTACTGCACCGGTTTGCTAAAGATAGATGTCGAAGTGTCGTCATTGACATCCCATTGTTGAAGGCATTCGCCATAAACTTTGTAATATGACTTCTCTGTTAAATGACCGGGCGGGCACTTTTTTGCAGGAAAAGACCCCAAATGTGATGGACTCTTTCATTAGCTGAGTTTTGTCTGTGGGCCGGATCATCGACTACTCTCTCTCTGCAGGTCGTTCCACTGAGCTGTATTGGTAATGAATAAGATTTATGTGTACATGATTATGAGGAAAAAACTGTCGCTTTTGAAATGATGGTAGAATTTGTTTTTTTCTTTTTTGACTATTAATTAGGGTCTTTGAGTCAATGCGCAACATTTGCAGTTGAATCATTTGCATTTCTTGGAGTAAAAAAGGTTTTTTAACGAGTAAGTTGCTAAGACTAACAGTGGAGGGGAAAAAGGATTGGAAATAAAGTGTATTATAAAAAGGAAAAGTGAAAGGTCAGTACGGTTTCTTAGTTTCTCTTTAGTGTTTTTGTCGGAGCATGTACAGATATTGAAGAATTTTAGAAAGTGTATTTTTCCTTTCTTTTTTTTTCTTTGAAATATTTAAAAGTGTTAACAAATTTTAAAGTTTTTTCCAAAAGTTTCACTATTTTCAAATATGAGTTGATGAACTCTCTTTGGGAAGGTGTAAGGCCGTGTTGGGAGTAAGTACGAAAGGAGAGTAGTGGGAAGCTTCACTTTTTATATTTCAGTAAAAAAGTTATTATATGTCTTTCTATTACACTGTCTCTGAGTTCTTTTTTTTTTTTGCACTGAATTTCAACGACCTTAATCTCTTTAAAATCTCTTGTATTCAAGGAGCTGTAGTTTTTTTAGAGGCTAATACCAGTCGTAGATGTCGTACACTGACCAAAAAGCTTTTTTCAGAAGCTTTAGTTAGAAAAAACTAAGAATTCCACCACGATTTCAAGCTTCCTTTAGGAGCAGTTTTTCGCTCACAATTGTGTGTAAATCTTGTACATTATCAATACATTTGCAACTGAACTATCCGTGGAGGTGGGAAAGACAGTTGTCTAGTCGGCCAATGATGCGCA